TACCTGTTTGGAGGCTTAAAAAAGAGTGTTTTTCAAAAAATTTTATGAGTATAGTTTTAAATTATTGTTAGCAACATCGGCTTTTAAAATAAAAAAAATGTTTTTTATAAACTACATAAGATTATCTAGTGAAAATTTTAATCATGTGTACATGATTAAAATTTTAGAATTTTTTTGGAAGAATTGTGAGATTTGCAAAAAAATCGCATTTTTCACCCAAAAAAATCGACTTTAATTCTTCATAAAAAAATCCTGTTTATCAATTTTAAAAATCGTGTGTACTTCACTAAATAATCTATCTAAGTAGCTAAAGTTAAATTTTCAGGCCAATCGGACGAAAATTTTTCGAGTTCTATTGCTCGCCGATTTGCAAAACATGGTTAATACGCGTTTGAAGTTCAAATGTTCTATTTTGACACTCCGGAATTGATCCAAAGAAATTAAATTTATGAAAAACTTCAAATTGTTTTCATGCAAGGACGTTTCTGATTATCAATCTAGGAATATCATAGTATGTTTTACGCCAATAAAAAAAACATTGTTTTAAAAAAAATGCATTTGAAATTAAAATTTTCTATTTTTACAATTTAGAATTTCTCCAGAAAACATAATTTTAAAGACATTTCCAAGTTGTTTTCATGCAAAGACTTAATAGATTATTAATCTAGAGATGTTACAGTATATTTTAAACCAATAAAGAAAAAATCGACAAACAAAAAAATGCCAAATAGGTATAACCCCGTAAGCGTTTTTGAAGCGGGGTCCAATGGACCCCGCTTGCCCGCTTACGTACTTTTTTTAGCTTGCCCGCCCAAGGGTTAAAAAAGTTTATTTGACAATAAATTAATAATTAACAATTAATAATTAAATTAATTAATAATAGACAATTTAAATAATTAATGTTAATTTATTAAATTAGTTAACAATAATTATTTTAAATATTTATTAATTAGTAGACGAATGTTTTTAAATCACTAAAAATGAAATGAAACATTATGTAAAAAAAAATTTCCAACTCGCGAGTCTTCGTAAAACAGTTTTTAAATGAAGAAAATAATGTTCGTACATAAGAACGAAAAAATGATTTTATAATGATGAAAAGCGCCACAAGATGGCAGCTGCTATTGGACCACTAGAAAAATGTTTATTTACAAGTACGATATTGTAATTAATTTTTCACCGTAATTAATTAAGAATATAATAAAATTTACTAAATGTATTGAATATTTATTTTTGAAAAAAAAATTAAAAGTTAATTAATTATTAATTATTTATTAATCACCTATTAATAATTGATTTAATTAATAATGATAATTAATTAACAATAAATAATTTAAATAATAAATTAAAGTAATTAACAATAATTAACAATTTTATTACTTAATTCATTATTTTAACAGCCGAAAAAAGAATTGTTACTGAAATTAATAAAAATATTAATTTCAGGATGAATCTGTTTTATTTTATTAATAAACTAAAATTAAAAAAACATTAAACTTATTTAATTCCTCAGTTTAACAATTTAAAAAAAATACTCATAAAAGACAAAGAAAATATAAATTTATAATGATTAAAAGGTCCACGAGATGGCAGCTGCTAATGAATCAATAGAAAAATCAATAATCAAAAGTAAAATGTTGAAATTCATTTTAGAATTTAATTTGTTAAAAACTAATTAAATTTCATAATTAAATAAGAAATAATAAATTAAATTAATAAACAATAATAATAAATTAAATTAATAAATTTCCTCTTTATTTTTAAGCATTAATTATTTCTTTACAAGCTGTAATTATTTATTGTATGTACAAATATTTATTATTCACTAACTTCAAATTTAGAGAAAAATTTTTTTTTGTAAACTTTAAACTCTTTGGCACTTTTTTATGATTAATTTCCATTTCATCAAAGAGCAGTAAATTGCTTTTAAATTTTTATTTAATATTCCCAACAACAATTTACAGTTAATGAGATTAATTAAATTTTTATTTTTTATTTTCATAAAAACTGTAAAATGTAAACAAGTTAACCCTACTTAACCTGGAAAGTTTATTTATTTTAATAAATTTATTTGCACTTACCTTGTGTTAATCAGGTCACAGAAATTATTTTTCTTATTTTATTTAGGCTAGTTTTCTTTTATTTTAAATTAATTAATAATAATTAATTTAATTAATAATAATAATTTAAATCGTTTCATATTATTTAAATTCATTATTTTTCAACTTACCTTTCACTTTAAGAGAATACTGAAAATAATTTTTTCATTTATTTAAAACGCTTCAATTTTCAGTAATTATTCTAATTTAATAATTAATAATTTCAACAAATTAATTAATTAATTCATTATTTTCAAAATTTTATTTTTTAAATATTCATGGTCATTTCTAGTTACTTTCTCCTAAGCCAACCAATAAAATCAATTCTATCAAACGGATGTTTGGCAATTGTCTTTTTCATCGATTTACTTTTTTGTACAAAGAGAAGTTTGACGCAAGGAAAAATTGGCGACCAAACCTCTCAATATTTATTCAAATTCTAATTTTATTTTGTTAAATCTACATTTTTTATTTTCAAATTCTAAACTAATGGTCCTCCCTCAAATTTTTTTATCTTTCTACTCATACTTTACTGCTTAATTGGACCCAATCACCCTGTATATATACGAAGAATGGACAAGAGGATTCACTCAACGCGTTGAGTGAAGGCCCCCCGCGCTCCCTTTGACATTGTGCAAGAGAGAAGGAATATTATGTATAGCATTAAAGCGTTCTCTCTAATACATATTGTTCTTACAGAGTGTTGCGTACTCTTTCTGTCCTGTAGGTCTTTCTCTCTCCCACTAATAGTGAATTTTATCATTTTTATACATCTTTTAATTTTTCAAATTATTGAATACAGGGTAGATGCTGGCCCGGTCAAATTAAAAGTATATTTATCATACAATATCTGCATGGATGGGAACGTTTAGGTTTTATTTAATTATTTAGAAATTATAGTTTATCCTTTCTTGCTTTCCTGTACCAACCTAGCCTATGAACCTTGCCTGCCATAAACTGCATACTTGCGGAAGGTTTCTACGCAATATTAAAATAATTATTGGGACAACTGATTAAATGTTGGATTTGTAACAACCTTTAAAGGTTTACAAAATAGAATGGAATTTATATTCTTGAAATGTCCATTATTTCCAACTTACATTAATCCTATTTTAAAAGATTAATTTGAAAAATAAGTATACAAATTAAAAATTCTTTCAATAATTAAAAGAATATTAAAAGATATTCTTTTCTAAGAATAAAGAAAAAAGGAATTTATTTCAACATAGTGGAATGAACCGATTCCATAAAATGCAAGTTCAGCAATTTTGGCATGGCAACAGGTCCAACGCCCTGTCCCCACCATCTTTTATTGCAATATTTTCCCACCTAATTAGAATTCAATCAAACTATAAAAGAAGCATTAATGCCAATCCAAATTGTTCAGTACGGTTTCCCACGGCACAGAGACTCGATCTCTGTCGGAATAAAAATAATATTACCCGTAACGTTCCCGTCCGGTATACAGGATCCAAATTGGTTGTATGTTTATACAAGCAATTTGGCCGGACGAAAATAAAATTCTTAACTCAAAATCCGCGGGGCCACCTAAAGTTAAAATAGTGAAGGGGGAGATTTTATTTAAATAAATTTTAAAAATTTCTTTTTTGTCAACGACCGGCCGGTTTTACGGTGTAGCCGCGTCCGCCCTATTTTAGTGGTTTAGGAAACTAAGAAAAAACAATAAATTGTGCACGTGTGAGTGTGTGGTGAATTGTCTTCGCCCGTCGGAAAGTTCTGGCGGTAGATTTAAAATCCAGCAACGGTAAGTACTGTATCGTTCTGGACTAATCAAATTTCACCCCCCCCCCTTATTGTATGAGAGGCGGATAAAATTCTTTTCCTTTTTATTATCAATTATAATTATTACTCTTAATTCTCTCTCTATTAATTTTTTTATCTTCCTCACTCCCCCCCTCCTCTAATTAAATTCTGAATTCTAAAAGTAACAGGAATAACGAATCCCAGTAAGATAAACAGAGCTTACGCTCTGGCAGTTTAAATTCAGTTAATAAATTCCTTTTTTTTTAAGTTAAAGTTACTATTTTTTTTATCTGGAACAACTTCCTTTGCGCATTCTTTTCTTCCCTTACATGAGATGTATCTCTAATCGAACGATATATTTTTTGGTGCCCCGAGTGAGGAAGGAATTCGCGCTTTGTAATGTCTCCAAAACTCTTATTTTTTGCTTATCTCTTTATCTGTGTCTTGTCTCTTTATTGATTAATTGGTATGCATTCATTTGATTTTATGGCGTCACGGTAATCTTCCCTGTTGTGTATCGAAACTGCCCCCTGCTGTGTACCATTACTTGATTCCCTACTGTGTTAGGGTCACGTATCTTGTTTTTTACTTCTGTACTTGCAATTTGCAGACAATTTCCATTTATTCGTTGTTTCGTTAATCGTTTTATATATTTTACTTGATTGTTTTAAAATATGGCTCCACCCTCTACAAGAAAACTTATAACCCAGCAAGAGTCGCGAGCCGCTGAAATAGGTCGTATTCAAGAGCGTTTTAAAGCAACTACTGTGGATGCGTTAAATATTAATATTGTTAAAAAACGGATCGTGATAGTCGATAAAATCTGGGATGAGGCTCGGGGAACTCACGCGGAAATTGTTGCTAGGGATGACGTTGCAAATGATTCCTATGTTACGAACTAGGTTTTCGTGCTTATGGAAATTAGTTATGAATCCCTGCAAGATTCCCTACTTAAAACTTTAAGTGAATTTGAAACCTCTCTAGCCGAAAAAGACGCTCTGTTGAATATAATGATTCCAAAACCGGTCACAGAATGGCAGAAAAACCTCGACATGCCTGTGCAGCATTGGGATATTTGGCTTGTATATCTCCTTGCGAGTCGTCTAGATCCTGAATCTTGTAAAATCTGAAAATCAGAGCTGAGCGCAAAGGATCGCCAAGCCGTGTCAAAAGCTTCCGAATCCGGTACAGATCTCAGTCGTATGGAACGCTTTGCTAGTTTTGATGATTTCATTGAATTCGTAGATCAACGCTCTAATGCACTTTGTATGATAGCTGCAGAAGCTAAACTTAGTAAGAATTTCCCTTCCCTTCAGTCTAAATCTACCAGTAACAGCAAACATTCACTTCATACTAGCACGAGTTCCAAATCACAGGATTCGAAGGGACACACTCAGAAATGCTCTCTATGTTCTGAAGATCACTATATCGGAGCATATCTAAAATTCCTTGAAAAATCCATTTCCGAGCGTCGGAATGAAGCACGTCGCTTACGCCTGTGCTTTAACTGTTCAGGTGCTCACAACGCGAAAAAGTGCATGTCAAAGCGTAGGTGTTTAACGTGTAAGGAAAAACACCACTCGAGTCTTTGCAATCCTTCAACAAGCGGAGAGACACCTAAAGAGCCTGTTTCTAATCTCTCGCAATCTACACTCAACAATGTCTCGGCGCTGACCGCCAATGTGTCAGCTCCAAAACATTCTGTTGTCCTTGCTACCGCCCAAGTCATTCTGAAGGGCCCCAAGGGAACTGAAGTTCGGGTTCGTGCTTTACTCGACCAGGGTTCTGAGGCCTCATTTATCACTGAATCTATAGTTCATCTTCTTGGATTACCTCGGAGCCGTACTCAGATTTCACTGACAGGTTTGGGTGCATCAGTCGCCGGAACTGCAAACTCTAGTGCTCAAATCTCCTTGTGTTCAATTCATAATTCTTCATTTCACTTGGAGACTTGTGCGCTAGTTCTCCCTCGTCTTACTTCGCAACTACCATCAAGACAACTCTTAGAGTTAGACATTCATCAATTTGATGGTCTATCTTTGGCTGATCCTCACTTTTTCAAACCCGATTCAGTTGATTTGATCTTAGGATCTGACATTTATTGTCAAATTTTACGTCCCGGACTTAAACGTTTCCCAACTACTTTATTGATAGCCCAATACAGTGTGTTAGGCTGGGTTGTTTCTGGTTCCATAGACTGTAATATGGCACGACGGGCGGATATCAGCTTCCCAAATTGATAGGCGTCTGTGCATTTTGTTAAGAATGACGATCTACAAAATTCACTTGAGAATTTTTGGAGGTTAGAGGAAATTCCCGAGACCTCCCTTAACCCCTTCGCAGTCAAGACCAAAATATCATAAGTGGGCTCAAAATGTCGACAACTTTTTAGAAAACTAAAATTTGCGCAAACGAGCATACTATTGTATTTGAAGTCGCTGATTACGAACCCGATATCAGATTTTAAAAATTCTAAATGGCGGATCCAATATGGCGGACATAGAAATTACAAAAACCAACTGAATTCACTTGAAACTTGTTACTCAGGGGTTTTCGGGATCGCTGATTACGAATCCGATATCAGATTTTGAAAATTCAAATTGGCGGATCCAATATGGCGGACACTATTTTCTAAAATTCATCGGATTCACTTGAAATTTTTTACTCAGGGGTTTTCAGGGTCGCTGATTACAAAACCGATTTCAGATTTTAAAAATTCAAAATATCGGATCCAATATAGCGGGCGAAATTTTCTAAAATTTATCGGATTCACTTAAAACTTTTTACTCGAGGGTTTTCGGAGTCGCTGATTACGAATCAGATTTCAGATTTTTAAAATTCAAAATAGTGGTTACTTACGGCCCCACGTGAGGGTATGCGGCCGGATTTTACACTTTTTTATTTATTTTGTTTTTTAATATTTTTTTTGTTTGTTCTTATATTGGATCCGCCATTTTCAATACCGATATTACATTTTTAATCTACGACATCAATAAATCCCAAGTAACAACTTTTAAGTAAATTTAAGTAACGAGTTTTAAATGAATCGGGCAAGATTTAAAAATGTCGTCCGCTATATAGGATCCGCCATTTTGAATTTTTAAAATCTGAAATCGGATTCGCAATCAGCGACCCCGAAAACCCCTGAGTAACAAGTTTCAAGTGAATCCGATAAATTTTAAAAAATATCCGCCATATTGGATCCGCCATTTCGAATTTTCAAAATCTAATATAAGATTTGTAATCAGCGACCCCGAAAACCCCTGAGTAACAAGTTTCAAGTGAATCGGATGAATTTTTAAAAATGTTCGCCATATTGGATCCGCCATTTTGAATTTTCAAAATCTGAAAACGGATTCGTAATCAGCGACCCCGAAAACCCCCGAGTATCAATTTGTAGACAAATCTGTGTGTTTTTTTAGCCAAAAATCTGCTTGCGTCTATACACGTCATCGACAGTTTGAGCCCACCTGCACCATGACGTGTATACACGTCATCGACTGCCAAGGGGTTAAGGAAAAACCGGAGGATAATGTTTGCGAGAAATTTTATGTTCATAATTCATCTCGTTCACCGGATGGTCGCTAAACGGTGCGCCTTGCTTTAAATTCTGATCCTCCTAATGCTTCTTCAGAAACTCGATAAATAGCATAAAGTACGCTGTCTACTATTCATCGTCGTTTCAATCGTGATCCTAAACTTGCGGACGCATATCGTGAATTCATAAGGGTTTACGAAGAGTTAGGTCATATGGAAAAGGTTCCAAAGCTTCAAATAAACAACCCACGTGCATGGTATATACCTCATCACGCAGTGGTTCAGTGGGACCCTTGGAAATTTCGGGTTGTATTTAATGCCTCCCAACGTACAAAAGTAAACGTAAGTTTGAATGAGTTTCTTATGCCAGGTCCAGCCCTCCAGGGCGATATCATCCTGATTCTCTTACAATGGCTATTGTATCGTTTTGTATTCACGGCGGATATTGTCAAAATGTTTCGTCAAATACAGGTACATCCAGAAGACCAAGACCTTTAGAGAATTCTGTGGTCTCCCAGTCACAATGAACCACCTGTCGAATATCGTCTAACTACGGTCACTTATGGTACAGCATGTGCACCGTACTTAGCTATCCGTACACTCATGCAGTTGACGCAAGATGAAAAACATAGATTACCCCTTGGTGCTTACAGTCTTGAGAATCACGCCTATGTTGACGAATGTTTTTGTGGAGCTCATGAACTAGAGTTAGCCGTACGGAAACGTGATAAATTGTGCAATATCTTACTTTCTGCTGGAATAGAGTTAGATAAATGGTCGGCAAACTGTACTGAACTTCTTCCCCCACAAACAAAGTCTGCGAGTCTTGAAAACGACAGGCAGATCGCGCGAACCGAATCCGTCAAAACCTTAGGATTGCATTGGAATCCAAAGAAAGATGCATTCGAATTCAGTTTCACAAAAATACATTCCCAGTCCTATGTCCTTACCAAACGTTCAGTATTATCAATTATCTCTCAGTTATTTGATCCTTTAGGTTGGCTGGCTCCTATAATCATTACGGCTAAAATTTTGATGCAAGACTTATGGATTTTGAAATGTGATCGGGATTCGCCTTTACCTCCTGATGTTCTCAGACGTTGGCACGAATATAGCAGTGCAATGTTCGCGGTTTCTAATATTACAATCAACCGTTGGTTAGGTACCTTACCAAGTTCGGGATGTCATCTTCATGGGTTTGCTGACGCTTCATCTCGTGCTAATGCAGCCGCTGTTTATCTCAAAGTCTCGTTAGGGGATAAAGAAACTCACATTTCTGTATTAACTGCTAAAACTAAGGTCAGTCCAGTAAAAACAATAAGCATCCCAAATCTTGAATTGAATGCAGCAGCTCTTCTTGTCAAATTAATTTGTTATGTTAGAAAACTGCCAGGTTTTAATGATTTTCCGGTTTTTTCTTGGTCTGACAGTCAAGTCGTCCTCTCTTGGTTGCGAAAACATCCTTGTCACTGGAAAACTTTTGTTGCTAACAGAGTAGCCTTTATTCAAACTGAGCTGCCCTCAGCTGAATGGAGACACGTGACGACGAAAGATAATCCAGCTGACCTGGCAACCCGTGGTGTTAAACCTACTGAGCTCAGTAGTAAAGAAATTTGGTGGAATGGGCCAAAATGGCTTTCGTTAACTGATGAAAACTGGCCCCAGCAGCCCGAAACATCTAGATCATTGCACGTAGTGAATCAATACAACGAACCAGAAATTCTTTCACGATTCTCCAATTTATCACGGCTGATCCGTGTAGTAGCGTACTGCCGACGTTTCTTTGTAACGTTGCGTGACCGTGTGCTTGGAAAGGAAACAAATACTTCGTTTCTTATGGCAACTGAACTCATGCAAGCTCGTCATGCTATCATCCGTTTAGCTCAAACAGCTGCTTTTAGCGCTGAAATCGAACATTTGAAGACTAAAGAGTCTTTACCTAAACGCAACCTCCTTCGGAAAATGAACCCTTTTGTAGGAGATGATGGTATTTTACGAGTAGGAGGTCGTTTGCATCATTCTTCGCTGGCACATGAAATGAAACACCCTCCCATTTTACCATATCGTTCAGCTCTTAGTCGTCTGTTTATGCACCAAGCTCACCTTTCGTCTCTTCATGGTGGACTCATTTTGACGACATCCTTTTTACTTCAAAACGTTTGGATCACGTGAAAAACACGTCTAGTCAAAACTGAAATACACCATTGTATAATTTGCCAACGTTTGAAGCCACGACTAGTGTCTCAATTAATGGGAAATCTTCCGAAAGCCCGTGTTACACCGGGACGTCTATTTCACACATCAGGCGTCGACAACGCCGGTCCTATTCAGATTCGTATGTCCCAAGGTCGTGGATATCGTTCCAATAAAGGGTACATTGCCCTATTTATTTGCTTTACCACTCGTGCCATCCATCTTAAAGTTGTAAGCGACTTAACCACGGCAAAATTTCTGTCTGCCTATAGACGTTTCGTGGGCAGACGAGGAATATGTTCTCATCTATACCGTGACAACGGTACCACCTTTCAGGGAGCACCTAGGAAATTCTGCAAGATGTTTAATGCTTCTTCCCAATTTTACAGTGAAGTTGCGACTACTCTTGCTAATGACGGAACTATGGCATTTTATACCACCCAACTCACCTCATTGTGGTGGCCTTTGGGAGGCTGGAGTAAAGGCTACCAAACATCACTTGAAAAGAGTAATCAGAGAACACGTAGTTACCTTTGAAGAACTCTCTACTCTTTTAGTGGAAATAGAAGCATGTCTAAATTTACGCCCACTGTGTCCCCTCACTAACGACAGTGACGATCTTTCCGCTTTAACGCCTGCTCATTTCCTGATCGGCTACACTCTTGGTGTTCTACCTAAAGAAGGAATTCTCAACATCCCTGAGAATCGATTAAATCGATTCCAATTGCTTCAACGTATGCGGGATAACTTTTGGAATCGGTGGTCATCAGAGTATCTTCAACATCTTCAAGAGCGTGGTAAATGGCGTGGAGTATCAGTAAATTTTTCTCCCGACCAGCTAGTCGTCATTAAAGACGATAGATATCCTCCTTCTAAATGGGCACTAGGACGAGTGCTAGAGGTCCATCCAGGGAAGGATGGCTTAGTACGCGTGGTGACTGTGAAGACTTCAACAACGACCCTTCGAAGACACAAAGCTCGACTAAGTCCCCTATTTCTACCGAGTTCAAAACCCCATTCTCCCACGACAGAAACGACTAATCAATAGATGTTCAATCGTTCGTCTGCTTGACGAAGGCGGGCGGAATTTTCGGAGTTATACGTTTTATTTTCTCTTTCTTGTTCATTTTGAATTAAAGTTACAGTCGCAATGCTACGATTTGCTCCGAATCCAATCTTTGGCTTTTTTCGTTTGCCGACGGGTACAGTGTTTCCTTAGTGGAGAGGGGAGAAGGCTGGCGATGGCAGTCCTGTTCCGGCAGCAAGAGAAGACGCACCTCTATGGTTTAACCTCAGCATTGGATCCTTTGGCCTCAAATTCAACACGTGCTTGAATTAAACTGGATCTCCTTTTCAACCTCAGCATTGGACCTTTTGGACTCAACTTCCCACATGTTTGGATCGACTCGATGAGTACCCTTTTTCATTTTCTGTAAAATTCATTTCATTAACTTTAAATTCAGTTAATAAATTCCTTTTTTTTAAAGTTAAAGTTACTATTTTTCTTTTATCTGGAACAACTTCCTCTGCGCATTCCTTTCTTCCCCTACATAAGATGTACATATCTCTAATCGAACGATACAGTGTTGCAAAATAGTTATTTATGATACAAGTGCGTAAAATCGTTGATTACACTGGTCGACACTAAAAATGATTCAAAGATCGGACAAGGATATTCTTATAGGATTTTCATCGCTGAACACGAATCTGACCTCCAAAAGTGCCCATCACGTCGAGATTTTGAGAAAAATGGACTCAAAGTCTCAAAAAACCCTGTTTTTGGCCTTTTTTTATCACGTCTAGAGAATGATGCCGAGGTGCTAGAAATCTCTAATTAGTCTTAAATTAAAGCTTGAACTGTCAACTATAAGAATCAAATCAAAAAAGCTCTGAATCAATCAAAAATTTTCATATAGCACAACTTTTTCATATGCGCGCGCACTCTACTTGCACTCATAGAGCGGTACACAATGGCACACTTACTTATTCATTTTATTTGCGCTATTTTTTGTTACTTATCATTTTTGAGGTCGCTGAAAGTTGCTGATTAAATGTAAGGTCGTTTCAGTCGAATCCACCAATTTTAAAAATTTTTATGTCCACCATTTTGAAACCGCCATTTTGAATTTTTTAATAACGACCTCACATTCAATCAGCAACGTTCAGCGACCCCAAAAATGATAAATAACTATAAATAGCGCAAATAAAATGAATAAGTAAGTGTGCCATTGTGTACCGCTCTATGAGTGCAAGTAGAGTGCGCGCGCATATGAAAAAGTTGTGCTATATGAAAATTTTTGATTGATTCAGAGCTTTTTTGATTTGATTCTTATAGTTGACATTTCAAGCTTTAATTTAAGACTAATTAAAGATTTCTAGCACCTCGGCATCATTCTCTACACGTGATAAAAAAAGGCCAAAAACAGGGTTTTTTGAGACTTTGAGTCCATTTTTCTCAAAATCTCGACGTGATGGGCACTTTTGGAGGTCAGATTCGTGTTCAGCGATGAAAATCCTATAAGAATATCCTTGTCCTATCTTTGAATCAGAAAAAAAGTTATTTTTTGTCGACCAGTGTTATACGAGTGTAAAGTTTGCAGCTGGAGCCAAAGTCGAGTGCTCCAAGTCGCAGAAGTTTAATCTGATTTACGCACGAGTGTCATATAAAATTTTTTGCAACACTAAACCAACTAAACTTGCAGCAATATTGCCAATATTGCTGAAAGTTTAGGTGTAATGGGGGAACTCTTAAATGAAGTTTTCTAGAAACTAAAATAGAAAAATGTGATTGTACATTGTTGTTTAAAAGCTTTATCTCATAGTTTCTTATCAAACAGTCACAAGAATGCGTAAAGTAATAATCATTTTACACACTGGAATTTACTTTAAACACCACTATAAAATAAAGTACTTTACACACAGTTTTCTGTGTGTAAAATTCAGTTTTACAGGTAAGTGTTGCAAATAAAAAAATTTTGAAATCGATAGGGGAGCATGGTCCTAAGTTGGCCGTGGGCCTAAGTTTGCCACCCTGCATTTCTCAGAGATGGTATACTGGACGAATCTATAATTTTGTGACATGATATATTGATAAACCATGATATAATTTATGGACCTAATTTTAATTTATGATTCTTCTACGCATTGTGAGGAAAATAATATTGCTTACGACCAAAAAAATTTAATTTTTCTTGTTTTTTCGAGAGCAGCTACAAGAGATAAATTATTAAAAATTTCTAAATGAGTGTGTGCGCTAGTTCCTTTATTTAATGTTGTAATAAAAGGTTCTGTTGATTTTTTAATTAAATTTTTTTTATTAGCGTAATAATTTGAAACATGTATAAAAATCCACAGTGGTCCTAAGTTGTCCACCTATTGTTTTTTTTGTTTTTATTTACGTTTTACTTCTTTTATGTGTTTTTTATCACCTGAAAGACCGTAAAAGTGTAACGTAGAAATTAAACAAAGACAAAAAACAAAAAATGGTTTAAAAAACATTAGAAAAGACATAGTACAAAAACGTTTGTCTCCACAGCCATCCAGCACTGCAAATAAATGAAATAAAACAATGCTCTACTTTCTAAACAAAAATAGTTAAATAATGCGTTTTTATTCTCCTAAATGTATCAAATTTGTAAAATTTCAGCGTAATTGAAAAAAATATACATTTCTTCCTTATACACAAGCGAAAAAAAGTGGTGGCCAACTTAGGACCGCTATTTCTGAAATGTCCAAAATGCAGCTCAGCATAATGTCACTCAGCGTAATAGTGCGTGACAGTGTCATAAAGATGGCAGCACTAATATTGTTTCGCTTTTAAAAAAAAATATCCGTTCTCATCATCACTTGTAACAACTGCACAACAGGTACATTTTTTTACAATAAATCACTTTATTAAAAAAATAAACACTAAATGTGGACAACTAAGGTAGTTTTATAAAGCTAAATCCTCATAGAATTGATAATAAAAAATTTATTTTGTCAAGTATAAAGTTCTATTAGTTATTTGAAAAATACACAGGCACACAAAAAAAAGTGTCGTGGCCGAGACACTACACTAGTATATTCCCATGTATTTTTGGCCGCTGAATCCGAATCCGAAGTCCGAATGCTCAAATTTCTTTCTTCTGTGACACTGCAAAAGTATATTCCCATGTATTTTTCACGCTGAATCCGAATTCAAAGTCAAAATTGACAGATTTGCTCAAAATTTTAAGATAAACTCAAAAAACGACTCAAAAAACCGAATTAAGATGAAAAAAATTTTTTATGACACTACACTACTATATTCTCATGTACTTTTTTCCGCTGAATCCGAATTCGCAGTCAGAATTGACAGATTTGCTCAAAGTTTTGAGATAAGCTCAAAAAATTGATAAAAAAAAGCGATTTAAAATTAAGAAGTGGAAATTTTTTGCTATGACACTACAGTATTTCCATATATTTTCACACTTGGATCTCGCATTTAAAGTCAAAATTATTCAAATGGCTCAAAATTTTGAGACACACAAGAAAATCTGTTAAGTTAAAAAAATTAAAGTCAAGAAACTCTACTTTTCTTGCTTTTGAGTGAGTTAAATCTAGATTCGTACTGAATACCATAACACTCCATTATTATAACATAAGGTTTCGACAAAAATTCTGTTTTACATGCATGTTTTTGAGCACTTTTAATAAAACCCAAAATTTTGAGCCACTTTGAAAATTCTGACTTCGGAATCAGAGTGAAAAAGAACATGGGAATACACTAATGTAGTGTCATAGCAAAAAAGGAGGAGTGTCGATAAGGCCTGTTTTCGGCCCGCTTCAAATTTTTAATTAAATGCTTGAAAAAAATTTCCACTAAAGAAAAATGATAATTATGATGATTGAAGGTCAAATGAGGGTGTTTGGAGAATATTAACCCCTAAATAACAAGGGTTTTCGAATGAAAAATGGGTAAAAAATAAGGGTAAAAAAATTTTCAATTATGAATTAATTGGCTTGAAACTCGTTACTCGGGGGTTTTTAGGGTCGCTGATTACGAATATGGTGTTAGTTTTGAAAAACTTACATCAGATTCGTAATCAATGTCCCCAACAACCCCTGAGTAACGATTTTCATGACAATTAATTCATTTTTCAAAAAAGTCGTACACTATTTTGAATTTTGAAAAACTATCACTAGATTTGTAATCAGTGACCACAAAAACCCCCGAATAATGATTTTTAAGCGAATTAAATCATATTTAAAAAAGTCGTCCGCCATATTGGATCCGCCATTTTGAATTTTGGAAAACTAACACCAGATTCGTAATCAGCGACCCCAAAAACCCCTGAGTAACGAGTTTCAATCCAATTAATTCATAATTGAAAATTTTTTTACCCTTATTTTTTACCCATTTTTTATTCGAAAACCCTTATTATTTAGGGGTTAATATTCTCCAAACATCCTCATTTAACCTTCAATCATCATAATTATAATTTTTCTTTAATGGAAAATTTATTTCAAACATTTAAATAAAAATTTAAAGGGGGCCGAAATCATGCCTTATCGATCCTCTTCCTTTCCTTTTAATTAGCATCTAGCATCTAGCTATTAGCTCCTCCTTTTTAAATAGCATTTTTATCAATTTTTTGTGTTTATCTCGAAAATTTTGAGCAAATCAGTCAGAAATCTGTCAATTCTGACTTTAAATGCGAGATCCAAATGTAAAAATAAATGGAAATACTGTACTGTTGTGTCATAGCAAAAAATTTTCATTTCTTTATTTTAAATAGTTTTTTTTATCAATTTTTTGAGCTTATCTCAAAATTTTGAGCAAATTTGTCAATTCTGACTGCGAATTCAGATTCAGCGATAAAAAGTACTTGGGAATATAGTAGTGTAGTGTCATAAAATTTTTTTTTCATCTTAATTCGGTTTTTTGAGTCGTTTTTTGAGTTTATCTCAAAATTTTGAGCAAATCTGTCAATTTTGACTTCGAATTCGGATTCAGCGTGAAAAAATACATGGGAATATACTTTTGCATTTTTTAACGGTTTACATTTCCATAAATTGTGCACTCGA